CTGTTTTACAAAGGGACCAATATTGTTGCAGATTTTCTCCTGTCTCCCGAAATCATTTTTAATGTTTAATCATTCAAAGGACAAACCCTTATTTATTTTTCTTTAGTGTGTCCTCTGTTGTTAGGCATTTAGATCTCTTGTGTATTTCCCTTTTTGTCTTAGAAACAATGCTGACCTATTCCTTATCCACATATTTGTCCTACCTTGCATTTTGAATTTGGATTGAGGAAGAATATCAACTTTCTATGTCAAACCAATAGCCTGGGTTTCTTGATGCCTATCAACCATACATTAGGAAAATCTAGGATACACTAGGCTAATGGCTTTGCAAGCTGTAAGACTTTTCAGGAAAAAGGATACAAGTTGTTTAGTGCAATACGTTCTATCTTTTCAAGTATTTTTGCTTTGAATAGATTAAAATGCATTTACAAATTTCAGATGTTTTAATGTCATCTGAAATTTTTTATACCTTTATTTATTTATTTATTTATTTTTATATGTTTCTGAAGATGGAACCCAGCACCTCCCACATGCTAGGCAAGGGCTCTACCACTGAGCCACAACCCCAGCCCCACTCTGAGATATTTAGCCTACCAGCAGTGTCTTTATTCTAGTTCTTTTCTGATCTAATTTGTTTTTGTACCAGGGATTGAACTCAGGGGCACTCAACCCCTGATCAGTGCTTAAGCACTGAGCAACATTCCCAGTTCATTTTTATTTTTTATTTCGAGTCAGGGTCTCACTGAGTTGCTTAGGGCCCTGCTAAGTTGCTGAGGCTGGCTTTGAACTTGCAATCCTGAGATTACAGCCGCTGAAATAACAGGCATGAGCCACTGCATCTGACTTCTTCCCCGTTTTAGAAATCCTTATGAACACATCTCTGAATGCCCATAAGTAGGATGAGCAGTCCGGAAGCTTCATTTGGCTTTAACAAAATCACAGATTTATATAAGAAAAAAACAAAAAACAAAAAACAGGAAAGCCAAAGTACAGAAGCCAGGCACCTGAAAAAGGGTGACACACAGGTCTTTTTTATTTTTTATTTTTTTGACACTCTGGATTGTACATGGATGCTTTACCGCTGAGCCATACCCCCAACCCTTTTTACTCTTTAATTTGAAATAGGGCCTCACTACATTGCTTAGGACCTGGATAAGTTGCCTAGACTGGCCTCAAACTTTCCATCCTCCTGCCTCCGTGGGGCCGCAGGGGTGTGCCACCATCCCTGGCAATGACACACAGTTCTGCTTTACTGTATTCAGATCTGACGTTAGAAGACCTCAGTCAGGTGGGACACACTTCTCCATTTTGGATAACTTTA